TTTTTTTTTTAACTGACATCCATATAAAAATGTCTTAAACACATTAAAACTTTTTTTTTTTTTTTTATTTAATTTAAAGGTTTTTTTTTTTTTAAAAAGGTGCATTTATTTTGTAATGAGACAAAAAGAAGAGGAAAATAATATTAATTTTAGTTTCTTTCCAAAATGTATAGGCTCCAAAACTAAAATGTAGAAATAAAGAAAATGTCAACTTTTTTTTTTGGTTTAATTTTGGATCTCACTGCCCTTCAGTGGATACAAGTTTGCCTTTTTTCTATATATTTTTTTTGCACACTTCTTTATGTATTCCTGGAAGGGAGTGATACACGTGTCAGTAGCGGATCTTTGTCAGTTTCTTTTTGCCCTCAGTTTATACAGTGATGGGAAAGTGTTGCCACTCTGAATGCACACTCTTTTCTGTGACGCAGTTTTCAAACCAATTTGGGAGCATTTCCACCTCCAGCCTCCTTCACTCCGAGTTTAAAATGTCAACAAGCTTATCCCAAATCATTCAGATTTGAAAATGCCCCTTGTCTTTACCCAGAGATAGATTGTTTTTACATGGCCGCAGCTCAATTATTATTATTTTTTTCAACGCCGAGCCCACATCTGGTTTCTGGGCAGTGTAAACCTAACTGAGCATCGGAAAGCTCAGGCTGCTGACCACCAGTTCCTGCATGATTAGAGTCCGGGGGTGCAGGAGAGACACGCTGCTGAAAAGTTACCTTATAGCGGTGGAGGGTGAAAGCAAGAGGATTGGCATGGGAGATTACAACTCTGTGTTTATACTAGAAAAAAAATCTGCAGAGTAGAATATCCTCCTCTGGCTCTGTCCAAGGTCTGGAAATCTCTCGCTCTGCACACACCAGAGCAGCACACACACCTCCTCATCTGCTTTCTGCCAACACAAACAGCAATTACAGCTGGCTCAGACAAGCCCTGAAAGAAGCAGGTTCTTGTCTAGAGGAGGAAAAAAGAAGAAACCAATTAGCAGCATTGTTCCAAAATATCCTCAGAGGTTCTTTTTTTTGTTTTGTTTTAATCTAGCCCGGCTGGTCCTGCACCACAGGATGGATGTCTTGCTGGTCCTGCACCACAGGCAGGATGTCCTACATGACCTGGTGCCACTGAGAGGATCAGTATGTTCATTTAGTCTCGCTGTAGGATCCTCTGACATCTGGCTTTGTCATGGAAGCTGGAAAACAACTTTAATATTCTCATGATGACAGTCCCAGGGACATGTGGAAAACATCCTGAGACGTTCATAATGACTGAAAACAGGAGGTCTGGCCACAGAATTCTTCAGTGTGAAACCAAACAAAGCAGTTGCTTCACACACTTACAGGCCAAACGTTGCTGTGAAGTCTGATTATGAGACATGCATCCAGGGACATCTACATGATGCACTTTTAATAATGTTTATGACTGTGTGCATGCGTGTGTTGGAGGGGGTGTCATTCAGTTGCCTTTATGGTTAGCAAGATATCTCCTGAACCCTGAAGCTAAACTGTTAAAAGAAAGTCTATGTAAGTATCAGGATATTTTAAAGCTGAAAAAAAAAGACATATTTTTCTTTATGTGAATAATTCTCACAATACTCAAATTCTTTTTTACACCATCAACTCTGTCCTGAACATCCCTCCATCTACACGTCTCAATATTTCCTCTGAAACTTGTGAAAAGTTCCTGCTGTCTTTTTACAATCAGAGCCAAAATGTCAGATCCCTGATCCCTCAGCCTTCATATGAACCATCCACCTCCATCACAAGCTCTGCTGTTGTCCATCAGTTTGAGCCTGTGTAATTTAACCAGCTGGAGAATATCCTCCTATCTGAAGAGATTATTCCAACTCATTTTTTTTTAAAGAAAGTTTTTAAATGTGTTGGTTCTGACATTATATAGATTTATTTACATCAGTCTCAGTTCAGGTGTAGTTCCAGCCTGTTTGCAGTTGTGCAGCCTTTGATGACGAAACCAAATCTAGGCTCATCTGTTTATTCACATTTTAGGCCAACTTCAAAACTTCCTTTATTATCAAGAAATTTTAGAAAGGATAATTTTTATTGAACTGCAGGCCTTTTGAAACGCTCACAGCATCCTTGAAATGTTTCAGTCTGGTTATAAAGCTCTGTACAGACACTTTTCTTATTCTTCTTTCGGCTTTTCCCTCATCAGGGGTTGCCACAGCGAGTCATCTGCCACCGTCCTACATGCTTGACTTTCCTCTTCGCCCTCTGTCTCCTGACGTGTTTCCATCCTTGCTGTTTTTGACTAGCAGTAGCACAATTTCTGCCAACACCCTGGTTATCAAAAGCACCGGCTGTCGTTGTTAATCCGGGCCTTGACCGATCCAGTATTATGTCACTTAGATGAACTTGCATATTACGGCAATTTTGGCAAAAGTGTTTTATGTTGGTTGTCCTTCCCTGACACATCCCTCACCATTTACCCAGGCTTGGGACTGGCACAAGGGGTACACTGGCTTGTGCTCTCTAGTGCCTGATTTACACACACTGCACTTTTGAAAGATTTAATGATATTTTATTAGCTAGAGATTCAAGAGATGTTGCTTGTTCTTTTGCTTTTAGATATGACAGCTGTTGACCACGTGATTCTGATGTCCAGGTTGGAACAAAGTGGTATCAGAGACTCTACACTAAACTGGTCCAGGTCTTACCTGTCTGACAGGAGTCTCTGCATAAGCCTTGGAGAATCTGTCTACTCCTCTGTCTCCCTCACATGCGGAGTTCCCTAAGGATCTATTCTTGGACCCATATTATTTTCCATTTATATGTGCCCCTCAGGGCAGCACGGTAGCGCAACTGGTCGAGCTGCTGCCTCTCAGCGAGCAGGTCCCTGGTTCAAATCCCGGTCCGGGGGCCTTTCTGGATGGAGTTTGCATGTTCTCTCCGTGCATGCGTGGGTTTTCTCATGGTACTCCGGTTTCCTCCCACAGAAACAAAAACATGCATGTTAGGCTGATTGGTAACTCTAAATTGTCCCTAGGTGTGATTGAGTGAGAGTGAATGGTTGTTTGTCTCATTTGTCTCTATGTGTCCCTGTGATGGACTTGCAACCTGTCCAGGGTGTACCCTGCCCCTCGCACAGTGGTTGCTGGACATGGGCACCAGCGACCCCGTGACCCAAAATGGAAGAAGCGGGTAAAAGATAATGGATGGGTGGATGGATGTGCCCTTCAGGATCCATTTTTAGAAATTTAACATTTCTTTTCAGTCTTATGCAGACGACACTCAGATCTACTTTCAGTTGAAGCATAATCATTCTGTTTCACTGAAACCCATGCTTGATTGCCTCTCTGAGGTAAGACATTGGATGACTTCAAACTTTCTCAATTTTAACCCCTTCATTGGTTCCCTGTTAGTTTTAGAATTGATTTTAAAGTTTTAATGCTGACCTATAAGGCCCCGAATGAACAGGTTCCTGCCTGACCTCCTGCAGCCCTATGTGCCCTCTAGATCCCTCATGATCATTTGCTTCTGGTTGTCCCGCGGTCCAAGCCGGTCCACATAGGTAATCAGACTTTGTCAGCTGTATTTCCTAAACTGTGGAACCAGCTCCCTCTTCATATCAGACATTTGGTATTTTAAGTTTCATCTTAAAACACATTTACTCACTGGCTTTTAACACAGCATGATAGTTGACTTTTTATTTATTTACTTATTTATGCAATGCCTCTTTTGTTGTCTTTTTTTTAATTATTATTGGTATTTATTTCTTGCATGGTTTTAATGGTCTCCTGTTTTTGTATTGTCTTCTCACTGTTTGTATCATGTGCAGTATTTTGACCAAAGATAGTTGTTTTTAAATGCGCTGTTTATATAAATGTGATTTGATTTGAACCGGTGGTCAGATTTGAATGACAGAAAGTAATTGATGGAAATCTAATTGACTTACTTTTGGAGTCAGCCTCATTTAAGATGGCCGCCACAACTACGTGACCTTAACAAACACAAAAATAGCTGGAACTCAGCCAGTTTTACACACAATGAGCTTAAATTTGGTGTGGGAGTATCTGATAGTCATGCTCAACACATACTCCGAGCACTGACATCTTGCGCAACTAGACAAAGTTGCATGAAATTGTGCAAAATATTGTTTACAAGTTTTAAACAGAAAATATTTTAACTTTGTCCTTTCCTGTCATAAGATGATTTTAGTCTAAAACACTTGCATAAAAGACATAGAGGGATTTATATTCCTTCCAGGAATGCTAGACCTTTCATTTATAAACCTTAGGGCCAAGAACGATTTAACAGAACGCAAAACGTTTGTTTCTTCCACAGGCAGCATTCTGAGAGGTTTTTCAAGAAGCAATCAGTTTAAAACAGCTGAATTATCATTATTATGCATATGACAATGAAAACATGCCAGTATAAAAAAATATGTGACCGCTGTTCACAGTCAACGTTTGTTTCATGATCTTGACTGTGAGCTTTTACAAATATACTGTAAAGTAGGAACATTTTAAATTACACAATCATGGTGCAGAGTTAGATCCTTGGAGAATAGATTCAATTTTATGCTAAATAAATTATTTAAAAAGGTTTTCTTTAGCAAGAGTTGACTTGTGGAATATATTTAGAAGGAAAACCTATCCTCTATGTGGCGGGAAAGTGAATCTGTACGGTTAGGGAGCAGAGCAGTCCCGTAAAAACCCAAAGAGCCAGATAGATCAGAAACACAAATGTTCTGTTCCACATTTATAATGTACTGCTCTTAGGAACAAGGCCATAATTATGTGGTGCTGGTGGTTAAAGCTGACAGAGAGGATGACTAAGCCAAACTGTGGGATTTTCTTTGCCCACTCATCTTTAGCAGCAAAGCCCACAATTCTCAGAAACAGCTGTAAAACATGACCGCAGCTCTGGCAGGGTGCTCTGCACAGGACAGAACCATCCAGCAGAACAAGAATCCTTGTTCGTGGGTTTAACAGGAGGCAAAGTCTGCTCGGATGTGCTGAATGTCCCTGTTGTTTGCAGATGGGAGTCTCCGTGGTGGATTCGGCAGTGGCTGGCCTTGGCGGATGCCCCTACGCCCAGGGTTCAACTGGCAACATTTCAACAGAGGATGTTCTTTACATGCTTCATGGCATGGGCATTCAAACAGTAAGCGTGTCTTCGCAGTCTGCTCTGTTGACAGATTGGCTGTTTTTTTTTGTGCCTATAATCCCAGCAAACCCAAAATCATAGAGCGTATTGACATAAACAGATTGCTGTGCAAACATTCTGCTCCAGTTGTGTTTATTTTATGGCTTTGCACAACTTGTGCAAAACCATGGGTGCTCCACACAAGGTGCCACGAACACTTTAGCAATTCCTACCCCTGCTGGTGGACTATTTTCACTGCAGTCCACTTTTTCCAATTTGTTTCTTGCATTCATGCTTTGAAATTTAAGATAAACTTTATTTGAAAATGTTTGAATCTGTTGTGTTTTTATCTTTTTCTTCCCCGCAGGGTGTAAATCTTGATAAAGTGATAGAATCTGGGGATTTTATCTGCAATGCTTTGGGAAGAAAATCAAACTCCAAGGTTGCCCAGGCGAGATGCAGGAGGACACTGTGATGAGTCTCTATGCAGGAAAAAAAAACATGTTTGACTCTATTTCTTTCTAAATGACTTCTCCTGGTTTACTTTTACAAATCTAATTATAATCTGTCAGACCAGCTTCAGCCCGTAAAATGATTTAGATTTCCATCTTTTCTCTTTGTATTTAACGTTTACAAGTGAATTAAAAATAGGCCAATTAATTAGATGACCAATTTTTAATCAGCTGACATTAGCCACTTTAAAATAAAACTGACAGTCGCTCATGCTTTTACATTTATTCAGTTACTAAGTAGGAAAATGAAGATGCTGCAGCAACATATAGCCTATAATTTAGATTTTTTAACGTGAGTTAAATAAGTCAAAATTGTATTTGAGAAGGATCTCAAATAAATTGTATATATAACATATATATATTTCAATTTTGGAACCTTTTCACATTGATTTGTCTTTGACAAATTTGCAATATAAAAGTTTTACATACTTTTAAAGCTTTGCATAATTCAGTGGCTTTATGGCACATGAAACAGTCATATTTTGGGTGCCCTTTATGCACTTTAAACCTCATAAAAAATATCCCTACCTGCTCAAATTTTGTGCAAACAGCAGCTGTGGTAATCCACTTTACCACAGCTCAGACCTGAGAAGTTGCTGCCAAAGAACATACAGTGATTTCTTTATTATTATTTATCCTTCCTTATTGAAGTTACTGTCAAGGATGATCATATTGGAGTGCAATGTCTAATATAATTTATTTTTTGCCAACCCTATGTGTATGTGCTTTGTGATGGACTGGTGTCCTGCTCAACCCAATAACCACTGGAGATAGGCACCAACCACAGGATGCATGTCTTGTGTGTAAAACATGATTAAATAATGTGATATTGAAATGAAAATATGTCCCTGACTTTTAATTTCATTTTATCTATAACAAATAAGAAAAAAATCAAGTGCATGGTATATGAGAAAATTAATAAAATGGAAGTTAGTGAAAAAATTAGGAAATTAAATCAACCTGACTTTAATGAATAAATTGGACAGTTTATGATACCATTTGCCTAAGCACTTTAAAGACATATATGATAATAAACTGCCCTGGTTGGTCTGTGTTTCTTACAACAGCTATCTGAAAAAAATTAAGCTTGTTTGTGTTTTCACAAATTTATTCTTTGGAACATGGTTTTATATAAAATGTATGTGCCTTGAAAAATGTAGAATGACAGACAATTAAATAATGAGCAAGTATTCACGGTGCATTGAGTTTCAGGAGGTTGCAATGTTTAAAGAGATGATAGATTGAGTTAAGCTCTGTCTCTCTCATGATGCAGGAATATAAATTATTAATAAAGAGAAACACAAAGAGAAATATAAAGCTATAAAATCTTGTTGAACATGAAATATAATTATGCTGTTGCAAGAAGCTTGTTTTTTGTGAATTAAACTAGCATTCATAAAAAGAATGCATTATGCCCACCACATTTCATGAAATTTTTTTTAAACAAAGATCTTAGACAATCTGTTTGCACATGGACTATTTGATGAGAATGTCTCTTCGCTACTACCATAATGCGTATACCGGTATTTGGTGGAATCAAATTTAGTATTTAGCTGATACTATGATGAGGATGACTCAGTTACTGCCATACTAATGTTTAGCCTTATTTATAGAAATGGAACTGAGTAATGGCCATGTTTTGTGTTTGCCAAGGTCATTTAACTGTGGCTAATGTATTGAATTAAATGCCAGTAGCTAAGAGTCATCCCAACTTACTTCAAGTGTTAGCTTGAAGTATTGTTTTGTACTAGCAGTGTTTAGTGTATTCTTAGTTTAGCATATTTCTTAGTTCATATCTTAAATCTTACTACCGTTTTCTTTTACAATTTATAATTTGGTTGGATGTAACTGGGACCCTGTGTACAGAATTTTGTATGTACCACATATGATGTGAATGACAATAAAAAAACCTTGACCATAACCTTATGTTTGTTTAAATCTTAGTCATTCAAGGTGGTATGCAATATGCAAGGAATATTATTATATTATTATTAATATTCAAGGAATGCTACTGTTTGAATAAATACATTCTAATTTAGTTTCTTTTTTGGTGCTGAAACGTTTGTATAACTGGATTATTGAGCATGGACTTTGTTGGTTTTGAACCAGTTTGACATGACTGTCGATGAGGAAAAGGGCCGGCACCAAAGGAGGAGGCGTGCTAAAGAGACCATCTTAGCACCAACATAACTGGTTTGTTCCCCTTTAAGTAAGCTGTTGGGGGAAGAATCAGTTTTGTGTTGTGTGTTTCCTTGACTGATGAAGCCTTCTGGATGGAAGGTGAAATGGTTCAGCACAAAAAAAAAGAAACTGTCCAGATGACCTGACTGAAAATTGTTGGATTGTATACCTGGACTATTGAGCATGAACTTCGTTTGCATTTTAATTAAGCACAGTCAATTTTTCATTGCGACATTAAATCATACAAATTAATGTACATTAAAAATAAACATCATCATGCTGGCCCTGTGATGGACTTGTGTTCTGTCCAGGGTGCCCCCCGCATCTCGCACAATGATGGCTGAACATAGGTACCAGTGCCCCCCGTGACCCGAGAAGGAAGAAGCAGGTAAAGATAATGGATGGATGGAAGGACATCATCATAAAACTTCTCAAGTGAAGAATTTATTATTACAATTCATGTGCAAAAGTGAGGACATTATCAAGCAATATCAATAAGCTCATTTTAGAGTAAGAAACCTTACATAAACTTTAGATTAAATTTTACTTTCATTACAGTGAAAAAGTCTTCCTAACACATGAACTATATTAACCAGAAGAAACAACGAATTGTGCTAAAATAAATATGCATCACAGGTTAACAAGATCCCTCTTCCTCGAATAGTCAAGTTTTATTTTATCTTTCCTTCTCAACCTGCAAAAGATACAATTATAAAATATATATGAAAGAACGTTTAGCTTTTGTTGTTGTTTCGTCAACTAAATGCTCAATTACTTACCAGAATCTGACGACAACAACCAGTAGTAATATAATGATTCCTGCAAGGAGCAAGGCTGCAAGAGCATACAACCAATGATCTGGAAAAATACAATAAAATAAAATTGTGAGGATCAAATACAATCAATGATGGTTGAAAAATAACCATTATGAACATGATGCAATTAGCTTCAAGCGATGAATTGTAGAGGTAAATTTACCAAAAGACCATGTTGGATGGTCAAATTCATTGTTTTCACTTGGTTTAGAAAGAGCAACATTGTTTTCACCCAGTCTCACTGAAATACACATAAAAATATACATGTACTCAAGTACCAACATACATTTTCATACAAAATACCTTTAGAAATCAATACCCTACTAACCAAAGTGCTTTCTGTTATGGAAGACATCATGAATCCTGCTGCACGTCAGAAGATGGTCGCTGTGCACTCCTTTGCACGTACAAGGCTGGTGAAGCACGGTGCCTAAAGTATTCAGGAAGGCCTTTCTACATCTAGAATCTGCACCAAGGATGTGAGCTGGACTCATCACGGTGAAACATTCGTCCACTTCAAGATTTGTGACACTACAATGTATTCCTTCAAGATTCCAACAGTTTTCTTGGAACGATTTCAACAAGTTTCTGAAAAATTAAAGAAAAATTCAATTGTGTGCTTTCATGCAGACATTTTTCTTTAATTCCATGCGCATTTTGTAAATAAATTTAATACTAACTGCCTAAAATTTCACATCTAGTCTCGGACTGATTTCAAACAAACAGCTCTGACTTTTAGCAGTGTCCATTTTTTTGTGAAGATATAATCCATAGAGTCTAAAATAAAAATAATTACCACAAATGTATGTCTTCAACAGATCACACAGCCTTGAATATTGTTGTTCAATCATGGCAGGCTGGAGTGTGTCTAATCAAAGGTTTCAGAGGGTTAATTGTCCCCTCATCAAATTGTGCATGTGCTCCAAAACACATTTTTAATCAAGAAAATGTTTGCAATGTGTGAAAATAAATGATTGACTATTGTTAGAAAACATTACAAGCCAAACCGTTTCTGATGCAATCAGCCTGCTGCTATTTGCACATCCATCCATCCATCCATTTTCTTTACCCGCTTATTCCATTTTGGGTCACGGGGGTCGCTGGTGCCCATGTCCAGCAATCACTGTGCGAGGGGCGGGGTACACCCTGGACGGGTCGCAAGTCCATCACAGGGCCACATAGAGACAAACGAGACAAACAAACATTCACTCTCTCATTCACACCTAGGGACAATTTAGAGTTACCAATCAGCATAACATGCATGTTTTTTGGACTGTGGGAGGATACCGGAGTACCCGGAGAAAACCCACGCATGCACGGAGAGAACATGCAAACTCCACCCAGAAAGGCCCCTGGACCGGGGTTTGAACCAAGGACCTGCTCGCTGAGAGGCAGCAGCTCTACCAGTTGCGCCACCGTGCTGTCTGCTATTTGCACATGAAAAGGTGAATTTAAGGATTTGTTTTAAAGTGCTACCAAATCTAGTCATGTAAAAAAATCGCTGATCTTCCTTTTATCTCTTCCTGACTATTTGTTTCCTGCTGTAAACATTTATTTCACAATACGTTTTATGTTTCTAGCTTTTAAGTCACCAACAAATTTTCTAATGACAGATGTGTAAAGATGGTATCATGAAAAGCAATAGGAATATTAAATAGGATTTTTTTTTAATTGATTTCAACAGTTTTACTATCAGTGGTACTTTGAATTAAAACCCAGGCTGGTAGAGCTCTGAGTCATGTTTTCTCTGCCATTTTTCCTCTAACAGGATTGTCTTTTTCTGCCCGTTTCCTGCACCAACATGTCCATTTAAGTCTGTTCTGATCATCGCTCTCTCCTCCCTAGGAATACTCTCTATCACTTCATCCATATCCTTCCAAAATTTATTTTTCTCAATTCCACATCGAACCTGTGGATCAATCACTGACAACATTTACCATCAGACCTTTTACTTCTACCTTCAGACGTACCACCCTGTCATACACTCTTTTCACTTCTACTACATTCTTTGCTAACTCCTCCTTCAGGACCACAACTACTCCATTTATCTTTATGAACACAAGAAGAAGATTTATTTATGTCACTGCATATGGAGGGATGGACTGGAAAAATATATGAGGATGCAGCATCAAGTCTTACCTATTACAGTGGTCCCTCACTACTTTGCGGTTCAACTTTTGTGGACTGGCTCTATCGTGTTTTTTCAAAGTAAGATTGAACACAAGGGAAAAAAAATTGTACATAACACGATTGTCAACTTTAATATTACACACGATGATTGGGACAGTATGGGATACTGTACAGTAAAAAGGTAACAAAAAAATAAAAAACTTAGGACAGGCGCTGCCATTTTGTAGTTTTCTCTCAATAAGCCTACAATGTATCCCCGCTCATAAGGACTACATTTCCCAGAAGCCAACAGTACCCCGCTCAGAAGCCCTGTTGCCTTCTGCTGAAATACATAGAAGGATAGTTTTGATGTAATTGGAAAAAGTTTGTTGCTTATTCATAAAGTGACTTCAGCGTCCAGCGAATGCAGAGAGCCGCAGGGAACCCACCGGGAACTGGACAAGAACCGGAGCAGAACCAGACATCCAGACCCACTGGTGAATCCGAGAGCTGCTAGTCGCCACGAGGACTTCCGAGCGGGGAGGCTACGTCATAGGTCCAGCTACTCTCTGGGGCACACCGGGATTTTAAAAAAATCTCTTTATCAGACCGCTCAATAAGACCACTGGTTCCGTGCTGGCCACCCTAAGGTCCCCCCCACCCCAAAATGTGCTTCGGCGCTCAAGGGCTGCATAGAACCGGAGCAGAACCGAGAGCCTCTGCTGTTCTGCCAGCTGGTGAGTAAAATTTAGTAGCTACATGTAATAAGTGCTATGTGTTGTCATCATTGTATGTTCCCATACAATGGCAAAATTAGTTGTCTGCATTTAACCCATTGCACCTGGGATACACCCAGATGGAGCAGTGGGCAGCTATGCATACACCCAGGGAGCAATTAGGGATTAGGTGTCTTGCTCAGAGACACCATGACATTTGTGAATGGCTGGGGATCGAACCTGGGACTTTCTGTTCCTGAGTCAGCTGCCCTACCTCTACCCCAAGTACTTTATGTTGTTAAAATAACATAGGTTTAAGAGTTTAGAACATTGTAAGAGTGTGGGAAGGGTTTCTAAAGCCTTAATTTATATATATAAATACTAAAATAAATATAACGTTGCTACTTTGTAGATTTTATTGTAGAGGAGTCTGGAACGTAACGCCCCGCAATAAATGAGGGACTACTGTACCAGTTCAAATTCAGTAACAATAGCACCAACATTGGGAGGCTGTGGCTGAGTGGTTAGAGCAGTCGTCCTCCAATGCAAAAGCTGGGGGTTCGATTCCAACAGCAGTCACATGCTGAAGTGTCCCTGGGCAAGACTCTGAACCCCTCATTGCCTCCGATGCGTGTCCCATCGTTGCAAGAATGTGATAAAGCTCTGATTATTCTCTTTATAATGATTTGTTCAATTAGCTGTGCAGAGATCTAGTAGAGTTCTGTATGAATGGGTAAATGAGGGCACAGATTGCAGTGTAAAGTGCTTTGATTGTCTTGATAAGATAGAAAGGCACTATATAAGGTAAGAACTACAGGAATCCCATTTTACATCCATATTTAATGTCAGTATGATTAAGTTACAACAAATTATGAAGAACCAGTAAAGAAGCACTCAGCAATACACACATAAATACGTATGTTCCAAAACCATACCTTTTGTTTATCGATATTTAGTTATCTTGTAAAACTGAAGAACATACCTGCACGCCCTGTCCTGGACACACTGAGCAACCCTTTCCTGGCAGATCAGGGTCTCAGCTCCACATGTTCCACTTTGCAGACCAGTCTTCATGAGCGGACACTCCTGATCTGTGGCCTCACACTCACACATCACCAGCGTCTCTGCAGTTTTTTGGGGCATGTTTCTATAAAACTGCTGAATTTCACGCTGACATTGGTTGTTGTCACACCGCTCTACCATACATGCCTGAAGAACAGGTATGAGGTGACGGTTGCAAACCGAATCACTGACACAAGCAGTAAATCGGTCCGTGCAGGATCCAGAACTATCTTGCACTGCAGGAAACAATGGAAAATTCCATTTTAAAACAGTCAGAAATACATGTTCTGCTTACGTACATGTCTTTAAAATGATGTAATAATTGCTCAGGTATTACCATTGTCTAATAAACTGCTCGATTTCCAGTCTGTGTTCCTCTTCTGATGAATTACTGTTTAAATAAGACAACGCATAAGCTCAACTGACTAATATAGCACAGCTGTCTTTGTTTACATTTCAAATCACCTATTGTAAACAAAAAGTAATGAACGCTCAACCCAAACCCAGCCGAATGTTCTCCACCTGGCTTTCTGGAGCATTGTTTGGCCAGCTCTTGTACAGAGTCACAAAGCTTCTCCTCCCAGGCACACGCACACCCGCGCAGAGATGGAAATTGGTCCAGTGTTGTGTGGAAGGTCAAGTTACAGACTTCTGAGCCCTTTATGTGGCACGCTTCATCTTCAATTTCACAAACAACAGGGACAGAAAAAAACAGAGGATTTTCCATCAGCTGGTATGACATCTTGTTTGTGCAACAGGTGTTTATCTTGAGTTGGCTATTAACAGTATATTTGCCTTTTTTAATCTATTTTTGTAACACATAATCCAAAAGTCAAAGCATCTAGATTTATATAGCAATATTCTTACAGGCTGCTGTCACTTTTAAGCCTTGCTTCAAATTTTCCACAAGTTGACCTACTTGAGAAAATCTCTTTGACAACATCACTTAATTAGGGTAATCATAACAATAAAATTTAACTCACGGTAGCAGCAGCTTAAACGAATAATTTGACATTTTTACCTCCACAGCTGCCAGTTAAAACTGCATGTTCATGTCTGCACAAATCTGACATGCATGTTTCTACCAAAGCCAAACAATCAGAAGCTGGAGAGGAAATGCTGATGCTGGATATCTGCAATAAAACAAACCCTGAAACACATATTTGAATTGTTTAATTCTGTTTTTTACTGAAGTAATTTTTAGTATTTGTCAACTTACAGATGAATCATTTTAGATACAGTATTGATGCTGAAACACTTGTCAATGCATGCATCTTTTGTTAAAATAAACTAATATAATTGGATAAGGAATAGTCATATATTTGTTCTTATGTGTACTCACCAAAAATTACCGCAGTCTCCTGATGTATCAGCTGCATTTCGGACGCAGTGAGAGAACTGCAGCTTCCCTCCCTGCACCTGATCCGTCCCCTCTGTGTGGTTTCACAGCTGAAGCTGTGATTCACCCACAGTCAACACAGCTCGTAACACATTTATAGGAGGCTGAGCCGTCACACAGTCTCATAAAATTATTTAGACCAAAATCAGCGCCTGTGAGAGTTTTTGTAAAAGACACTTTACTGCTGATTATCTGCTCATCTGCATATTCCTAAAGAACTAATATTTTCTCCTCTCTGTTGATAAATCAACACAAATGTCATCTTCTGATTGTCCGTTTGATTTCAGAAGCCAGTTCTGTTTGTTGTAATAACCTGTTCTTATATCTTTCCTCACCCTGTCTGACCAGGTGAAACCAGAACTTTTCATTGTTTCGTTTTTTTCAGTCTTTTTATTGTTTTTTTTGAACATACAAAAAAAAAAAAAAAGAGAACACAAAGCACAAATAAATAAATAAAATAAAATAAAACCTCCCGCCCCTCCCCTTCCACACCAGATCAGTCACACACACACACACAAATAAACTAAACAGGCATTGACATGTTTTCACATAAAGGGCTGCCAAGTGTCCCAAAATCTTTTAACAGAACCCTGCAGGGTACAGCTATTTTTTTCTTCCAAATTAAAATACTTAATTTCCCTTATCCAGTGAACACATACTGGGGAGTGTTGGTCCTTCAACTGCACATGACAAGTCTCCTGGTCAGAAGAGAGCCTAAAGCAATCACATACTTCTCATACTTGCTGAAGGACGTATCCACAGGGGCCACCCCGAACAATGAGATGAGTGGTGATGGGTGAACAGCTCACATGGGTGAGCATGAACCTTGATGATGGGTGTACAGTTTTGCCACATATCCCAGAGAAGGTGTCAAAGATAGATTACCAAAAAGTCTGCAGTTTGGGGTAGGTCCAGAATGTTTGCAAGAGTGTAGCTGGAGTTTGTTTACAATGATTGCATGCGGGGTCCGGGTCAGCTTTGATCTTCGACAGCTTGTCTTTGGACCAGTTCAGCCAGTGTACGTTGTTTCGTTTTTAAAGAGGAATTGTTAGTTTGCAACACAAACGTATACTTAAACATGGCTAAAGTGTCTGCAGTTTATTCATGTACAAAAAAAAGTGAAGCATAAGGGGGTCTGTCTGCATGTGGTTTAGCTTTTGGTTCAGTTTTTGCAGTATGTCTTAGTCATTCACTGAACCTGACAGAAACCAAGTTAAAGCAGAGTCGGTGGTAAAAAACCAACATGGGATCAACTTTAAAAAATCTTTGTTCCTACAAAACCAATTTTCCACTTTTAATCTATTTTAAAATGTTTCAGTTTCATTTTAATGCCAAGTTATATTCTTGGTATTAACTAAGAGAACAATACTTCATTCTGCCTATAGGTGCTGAAGTTGCAGCTAAAATGTATGAATTTATTTCCATTTTATTCATTCAGTTTGATAACAGCCATGAATTTATAGTTACTTCTGTTAGGAGCATTTGAATTTAGAAGCTGTACTCCTCCTGCAGTTTTTAAAGCCACAACATTTTATAGAGTAAAATTACCTTTATGAAATGTTGCATGTGTAAATTGCTACATAGAAGAGAAATATTCACTACAGTTTCCTTAAAAAAATATGATATTAAAATTTAAATATATTAAACAGAATGGGTTAATATCAGGCAGGATCAGCTGCAGAGACAAAACATTGAACTTGGCAAACACTGTTGGAAAACGTTCAGAGAAACTTTTCACAAAGCCAGAATAATTTATTCATCAAGCACATAAAAAATGAACAAACTGGTCAATCTGTTGCACAATCAGTTCAAGTAAACTTAAATACAGAACAAGTGCAAAAAACATAAAATGCATTAAAAACATACAGACTCACATTAACACATCCAAAGAACAGACAAAGTTTAAAATAATTCAAATCTGAAATAAATAAAAAGTGAGAAAAACTGTGTTTTGAAACCTGAAAATGTTAAGAATCTTAAGGTTTTCACCCAATTATTAAAGCAATAATGTCAAAAATCAAGCATGGATCCAGAACAACACAAATGACTTTGAATATTTAAAGTTTACCAATTGTCATGACTTTAGGAATCAAAACCTAAAACTTAAAAATCCCAATAAATTCCAATCATATTCCTAAAATAAATAAAGATGAATCCAACTATTCAAAATTTGCCTCTTTGTTCTCTGTGATTGAGACCTTTGTTTCAATCTTTCTTCTGATTTCCTTTTCTGTTACCTGTTAAATGATTTTGTCTATTTTTTTTCCTTTTGTTCTAACAAAGTGCTGATTGTGAATATTAAAAAGATTCATTTGCTGCACTAGTCATTATGGTTTACTCATTATGTCCCATTATACATTTATTACAAGCTTGTACCTCTAGACTTTAGGCAACTCTGACTCCTCTCAGAGGGACAGTATCTGTAGTGGAATGAGTGTATTTGCCATTTGTCTGCTTTCTTAAAAAATACTGTTTATTTGTTTATTTATTTATTTATTTTTTAACAAAAAGCTCAGTTTTGTAATAATATACCACAGAAGCTGCTTGGATTTTTGACAGTGCAAAAATCACACATGATACAATCCTGAAATAAACGAATCAGTGATTTTGTTCAAAAGTGTATTGCTGTCCATGAAAAAAATAAAATTTTGAACACTATCACATTATTAAGTGATAATTATATGGTACAAACATGTTGCTTTTTTGTACGTTATTTACCTTTAAACAGGGGTCATACGCAACGGCACAAATACAGTCCAGCTGTAAAAGTCGTTGTAATTGAGCACTCTGGATTTGAGCAAGAGTAAGGTTTCTGAATTTGGGGAAAGCTTTATCACAATAATTCTTCTCAGAGTGCTCATACTGATAATGATTTTATCTACAGAGCGCAGCAGCATCAGAATCTCTCCATGAATTAGACCAAACATGAAGTAAAACTTGATCACAGTCTGTAAATTAGCATTCGTGCTAGCTTAATATGTACTAGCATGCAGGCTAAAAGCATAGTCTACTACCACCATCTGGATGAAATTATCACTTGATGTTCTTATTTTGATTCCACACATTTAAAGCGTGTTTCTCATCAAGTTTGTGGAAATTCAGATGTGGGGTTTTAAAGACATTTCAACTTTAATGCACTTTAACACACAGCGTCAGGTTGGCACTACTTGTGTTTATAGGCAAATTAAATTAAAAATACTACAGTATTATTATTAATAATATTGTAATAAAATTAATATTACAATGTCAGTTCTTTTCTCCTCTGGCTCTCGCTCAAGGCGGACGCATTTTCCTCTCCCTCCCCTGTTCTTCCTCCTGCTTTGCCCTCTGTGTGTTTGGAGCTCCACATCTCCCGAACGAAAAATACGATTATGGATCTGGTGAGCTGGACTTTTAACACAATCGACAAAATCTTTTCAACAAAATGACACAGTCCTGGAGAACCCTCTTGTCCGGCTGAGACTCACACTGCGGGGTACATCAGAGATCCGTGGGGAGTTTGGCAGCTGATGTGTCTCAGTTCTGTCTCAGGAGGATGCTGAAGACGTTCATATATTTGATTTATGATAGCAAGGTTTCTGCTCTTTGGCACTGGTGGGGCTCTGTTTTATCAACTTTTGAAGAAAACATCGGCAGCAGTTTCGGCCATGGCAAAGCTTCCGAGTCTGTGTGAAGGATTGGTTTGTGATAGGAGTACTCAAAATCAGCTGATTTATGAGCTAAACCATAAGATGGAGGCGATTGGTGAGAATCTCAGGCTGCCTGCGGCTTTTAGGAATCACCAGCATGTTGGGATCAACCTTGAGGAAGGCTCATAACACGGATCAGTGGAGTGAAATACCCATACATTTTGGACTGGGAAAGTTCCAGCAGGACTCAGGGCTGACAAAAAAAAAACAGTCTGCCTGAAGAAAATGGCTTATCTGAATCTGACTCCCCCGTTTGGTCTCGGATACAAGCCGACTATCAAATTTCTCCTGGGACATGGGTAACTAGGGACAAATCTTCATCTATCGCAATCACCCCCCCTCCCTCCTCAACGTCCTCAATATGACCAAACAGACTTTTAGAGTAAAATCTTTGACTCCTGACTTTTAAGAAAAGATGAATGATAGAGGCCTGTTTCAGCAATCAAGCAAGAAAAAATGTCTCTCTGTCAGTCTTTTTTTTTTACTGGAAAAATGTGCAATCCTGAACTAAACTATATGGTGCGTTTGAAATGGGTTATCCCAGTTGTTTTTCCAGATATGCTGCATGCAATTTTAAAATGCGGGTCCTCACTCAATGTAAACAAGAGTTGATAGGTTTAATGTTTTACATATTTTCATTCCCTATGGTTCTTTGCATAGGTGATTAGCATGCACAAACAATTTTCATTATCAAATCCTAAATTAAGGGCACATTAAACATCCATGAGAAAAAATATTGTGCAAATTAAGTTTACTTTGTTTTTTAATGGTCCTGTCTTTGCAATAAGAACCATTATATGTCCTGTGAAGAATTACATTCAAATGTGCTTTTGTTTCCTGATGTTTACATTTTCATGATGAGTATTTTGTAGAGAAAAAATATTATAGATTTTACAAAATAGACCAGATGATTTCACGACATTCCAAAACATTTTTCACACACTTTAACTCATAAATTTTGAATTTACCACATTCAAGAGGGTTGTTTTTATCTGCAAACTAAACACTACAAAGTTTTATTTGTTAAGAGTATTTCTGGGATTGTCGTTATCTGTCAGAAGGATGTTCATGTAATTTGGGTCTTTCAGTGGGGATAAAGAGTTTGTCTGTAAATGTCTAACATCGATGTGCTCACAGGGATGTGGATGAGCATATTAGATTATGAACTAACTCTACATTGCTTTTTGAAGTAGAATAATTAGTTTGTCTTAAGGTGTGAGTTCAATTCTGATTTTAAGAAAAATAAAAAATAAATATTTACCCTAAATTAAGCATCTAATCTCACATCTATTTCAAAATCTGTATGATTCTTTTAAAACTGTCAGATGTTTTAAGCTTATTGGCTTTCTCTAAACCTCAGATTAAAAATATTTGGTAAAAATGTGAAAACTAGCTCTTGTAAATTCCTCGTGCACTTCTCCAGTTTCTTTGTTTATTTATCTTCACAACTTTTCTTTTGTTTGTTTTCTGTAAAGTTTGTTTCTTTGGTCTACTTTAATTTTCGTACTTTTTTGCAGTCTTGTATCAAAAATGACCAATTTTATTGCAGGATGCAATTTCTTGCTAGTTCAGGCTTCAATGACTTCTATCCATTGTAAAACAAAATCCACTAAACAATGCTACTTGACCTTTTGAAATGTATTTTGCAACTGATAACTGATTTTCAGCATGCCGGTGTCCACTTTATAGGAGCTATTGATCTTATCAAGTGGAAAAAGCAACTTTTAACATTTTACTGCACTTCATTACGTAGAAATGGACGTTTACACCAAATATTTCAGATGGAGACAATAAAGACATATGTAAAGGCCTTTTTTGTTGCTGTGAAAAAAGTACAATCAGAATAGTATGTTATACAATAGAAGAATAAATCTCGACATAATAAAATACGTATGAAACATTAAACACCAAGCATCCATGTTTCATTTACAAGAAATAGACTTTTTTTAAATCTATTTACAAGAGATTGTGACAGAATGAAGGATGTTTAGTTAGCCAGAATTGTATTTTTCCCTTTTGACCTTGAAAATAAACTTTTTTTCTCTTCCCCAGAAAAGTCATTTTTGTAACATATATATATATATATATATATATTTCCTTAATAATCCCCGTGTCCTTTGACCATAAGCCCAAGAGTTGAACGGCTATATGATCTGATCCGATAACCGTGACAGGTTGTCCACGTTATTCACTTGAGTTGACAGGGACTTTCGGCTGTCCGTGTTCGCTCTGGCCCTCATCCTCTTTTGTTGATTTTGCCGTTGACCACAACAGCTGCAAGAAAAGGCCGACTTGAATTCATCACGGAACTTTCCTGGAAAAGTAAATAAATCTGAAATCAACTTTTGAACCAGCTGTAGGAATCGCAAATGTTGTTGCATGTAAGAAATTTTAAAAGCCTAATTAGAAAAATGCAATCTGCCACTTTTAGCATGTGGTAATTAACAACTGCCTTGTCTTTGTCAGTCTGAGTGCCACAAAAATAAAATAAATGACTTTGCAAGATTGATTATTCTACAAAAGGGACTCTGTTGATTTGTTGATGCTAAACTTGTCACTAGAGGGCAGTAATGAACTTACTTCTTTCTTATTTAGAAATGAAGTGTAAGAAAGAAAGGCTCAAAAACTCACCACTAAGGAAATTATAGATGATGGGATTTGCTGCACTGTTGGCATATATGAGCCAGTGTGAGAACGTGAACCATGCGTACACTGTTTCCCGGTCGTTTGTGTTCTTGAAAGTCCCGAAAACTCTGCAGACAAAGTGATGAAATCCAGTAAAATCTACTTGTACATGCACCAAATTTAGAAACATTGTATACTTCCTAATAGTTTACATCAGGCACTAAGATGAAAGAGGACTTAATATAAGTTCTGACCAGCTGCAGTGCTCGTTTTGTTCTCATGGCCTTTAGTCCTAAACAGAGGAGCTCGAGGGATTGTTACCTTTTCATGACGTTGAGCACGCTGATTGGTAAGTAGCACAGAGCAAACACGAAGAGCACCACCATCAGCATGCGAGCTGTTTTACGCCTGGCTCGGACTTGTTTGATCTCAGCGCAAACCGTGCTGGTCCTGACCCTCACAGGTTCCCCCAGTCCTGCGGTCTGAGCCGAGCACCTTAGAGTCCTCCACTTCCTCTGCATCACTGATGTGCTCCCAGGAATCTGTTGATTAAAGACATGCACGTGTCAGGCACAAGCAGGCCGAGGCTCCTGATTTACTGAAAGATGAATGTTTACAGAGAAGGGACACACGTTGGGGCTTGAAGGCAGTTTCAGGGTAGTGAGGGTGATTATAGTGGTTCATCTAAACCAGGGGTCTGCAGCCTGCGGCTCTGGAGCCACATGCGGCTCTTTGGGCTCTCTTCAGTGGCTCTATCAAGCTTTGACCAAAAATGTGCATAAAACTGAATTTTTTTGGTTTTACAAACAACAAAAAAGGATTACCGGTAGTTCAAACTGTTTCCGATCATTTCTTTTGCAAATCCGTGAACACTGGAGCGAGTACAAGGCGTAAAACATACTTTAACGTTATGCTTTATTTCTTTATATGAAGAACTGTCTGCATAGTTTATAGATTTTTTTTATTTAAAAAAAATGGTAAAAATTGATCTCCCCCCCCCCCCTTAATTTATAAGAATCTGGTCTTTTTCTGTAATAAATGTTAAAATTATTAGATATTTTATGCTTTACAATATCACCCACTACTTGGCCCCCTCCAACAAACCTAAAGTGGCCCACCACGGGCCACCAGTTGATGACCACAGTTGTAGCAGGTTGTTGTGGCTCGTTTAATGCCGCGAATGAAGATGTAAAAAAATGGCTTTTTTAATTCTTAGATCTTCTCTCTCCAGTCTCTCAAAGTTTGGGCATATTTTACACAATACAGCTCATGAACTTTATAATTTGCATGACAAAATTAAAGACTATTAATAAAAGCACAAAGGTTTGGTTTTAACTTTAATGAACTGCACGTACGCTTAAACATACTCAATGAAATTCAATATATGGTTAAAAAAATCTAATTAATTTATTTCTTTTCAGATTTTGACGCCATGCTGTTTAGACAGAATTGTTGGCCTAATTGCTCCTTTGAGCTGTGTGTCAAATTTGATTTCTTTTGTGATTTTAAAACTAATTAATACTCTGTGACAATTCCAAATGAATGCCTATTTTCTGAAGTGTGAGAAGAAAACAACTGCAACACATTTCGTAAGTAAAGTAATTATCTCTTAAGATATATTTATTTATCTATCACAGTCTGTTTTTAAAGGGTTCAGCTCAGTCATGTTGGTTTTACACAAAATACTAATAAGATCACAACATTTTTGGGTTTCATCTTGTTTTTGTCTCTTCTAATTGTATGAACACTGATTCACATTATTATTATTTTCCTGGTAGCTTGTTGCTTCTTGCTGCAGTCTCAAAGCTTTGGGTTGTTTCAAGCCCAGGTCACAACCCTGGAAGAGGAAGCAAGTGAAGAAAATGGCTGGATGGCTGAATGTTTTTTGTAATCTAACTATTTCTGCATGCTTTGTGTTATTTAAGTCAATTATGCCAAAACATTCAGCTCAGATGAAGGGTGCTATGACCTTTGGTTTATGTGACACATTATTTTCAAAATATTTAATGTTATTTACAAAAATTGCTCCCCAAGAAACACACCGGGGTCTATTCAATTCTTTGAAAACCTTTAATTCTTTCAAATCGGCTTTAGCGAACTTACTCTATTTTTGTTTACCAATGCTCCCTTTAGCTAGCCTTTTGCTACGTTCAGCATTTAGCTAGCGTTTTAGAGCTTTTAGCTAGCAATATGCAACGTTTAGCTTAGTTAGTGTTCTGCTTTTTGTTTTTTATTTTGACAATTTAAAAATAAATTTTTTAACTTCATCAAATTTCAGCCATGGCATCAGCACTCAGTAATCGCACTTCATTTTATTCTGCGAAAATGCAAAGTTTGGGTTTGTGGTTGGACATTTGTTGCTGTGTTTTTATGTGTTTAGTGTTATATAGTAGTCCCTCCCTATTTTGCGGTGCATTTCTCGCGGACTCACTCTATCACGATTTTTCAAAGTAAGATTGGACATGACACACAATGGCTGATTGATGGATGGGCCATAAGATCGGCATAGATTTTTTAAATTTAAACTAAAATATATTAAATGATTTAGCACCTGTGAGCAGCCCACAGATGTAGAAGCTTCCGTCTGCAGCTGATCTGCTGATCTTCGATATATATGTATATATTTAAATAATTTAAAAAAAATTATATATATATATATATATATATATATATATATATATATATATAAAATAAACTGCTTCTTACTACTTGTACTACCAGCGGTTTTTCACTTTTCGCGGGGCTTCAGGGTACGGATCCCCCGTGATAAATGGGGGACTGCTGTATAAGTATGCATATTTGTGTAATTGTTGTTTTTATCCATCCCCCTGTTGCTGACTATTTGCTAGGTCGTGATTCTAAATGACAACAAGCTATTGAACAGCCAGAGACTTCACTTGGTGTGTTCCTGATTTTGAGTGTGACTGAAGCCAGATCATTAAACTTATTCTAGTTACATCAAATTTTCATTATACAGTCCAGGGTGGTGCAGCTGGTAGAGCTGCTGCCTCTCACCAAGCAGGTTGCCGTGGTTCAAATCCTGCCTGGGGGCCTTTCTGGGTGGAATTTGCATGTTCTCTTTATGCATGCGTGCACGACACGAAAACTTAAAAGCTGGTAAATGATAACGGATGGATGGACAGTTCAGGCTTCTGATGATTCATTGTTTTAAAAAAAGAAAAATAAATGTTTAGGAACACACCTGTTGACACCACAGCTTGTGACATATCTGAATGTATGCCAGGACCATGAGGCATAACGGAGCGATGTACGTGACGATGAAGAATCCGGTGTGGTACACTTTTGGGTAGATCTCAGCTGTGAAAAAAGACGGCAATATAAATACACAAATCTGTGCCCAGTCACTGAGGAACTGGAAACTGAGTCAGAAAGCCCTGATTATTACTGGTTAATAATGAATGGCTCTTGAATCAGTCAGAACGGAGGACTGGTTATAATTGGGTGACTGGAGATGAGACCTGCAGGTGCACTGTTCAGTGTGAAGGGATGTGTGTATAATTGATGAAACAGTATAATAAATACTTCAAATATAATTAATCCTTAACTAATAACTATCTGCTGAGGTGATACCCATAATAGTAATATATTTTCATTAAGGACCATTCAATATCAAGTTCTTACATCACTGTTCAAGTGGCATTTTATTCCATCACACCCCCCATTGAAATGTCTGTTACTGTTTTCGTGCTCGTCACATTTTATTTTCAATAATAAAATATTCGGTGTTTCATATATTGCCTGCAGGCATGGAACAGGTTTAAATATAGGTTTTATTTAATGATCTTTAACGACAAGAGGAACCTCAATGGCTCACCTCATTAACACAAAAACATCATATTTTATATTTCTATTATCAATTTCTATTTCAAGAACCCAAAGCAAATGTGACCACAGTTGGTCTATTGTTTGACAAATTTTTAGACTTTCAGCTCAACTTGTGCCGCCAGCAGAAAAAAAAAAGACAATATTTTTATGATTAGGGGTAAGTTTGTCAGGACTGACCTCCCCAGTGTTCGTCACACACTGTGAACAGGCTGGTCTTATTTGTAAGTTCAGGTAGCAAGCTGCTGCACTCCATCACAACGGCCTGAGGGATCATGATGATGCACGACACCACCCAGATGGCAACGATGCTCTTGCGAGCCCTCTTGGCTGTGCTCTTGAACATTAGCGGATGACAGATAGCATACCAACGATCCTGGGCAATGCAGCTCAGCGTTAGAACTGATACAGACACGGAGATGGTCTGCAGACATAAGAAAAAGACAATCAGACAAGCAGAAAGACGTTTTGGCACAGTTCACTGGCAGACTTTAGATTTAGAAAATGAAAACCAGATCACATTGTTGCTTGCAACAGTAGTAAACTAAATAAACAACTAAATCTGACATTTCTGGGAGTTTAAAGACAGAAGTAACATAAAAGGAAAATTACACAAAAAAGATCAGTTCTTTTTGTCAAAGTTTCAACAAAAAAGTTCATCAATTTAAAACTAAAATAAACTTTTTGTTCATTAAAAAAAGACAAATTTGAATGTAAGGGGAGGGAGGAGCTCAAACAAAAACTTATTTTCAGTCCTGTGGTGAAAAGCTTTATTTGTCAGCACATCAAGGCCCTGTCTTCTATTTTATCTTATCGCATGTTTCCATTTCAAAGCTAGATCTGAATATCTGCTCTTTTTATTCTCCACAATACAATTACATCTGCTGAGATCAAGCAAAAATGTGCACATAAGAATGGTAGTTATTAAATTATTGTTTCAAATGACCTCCTTGTACTTCAAAGTCTTACACGGGAAGGAGACTGAGCACATATTTCCAGGGTTAAGTCAGTCTGATAGTGAAGAAGTGGGGATCAACACCTCTCTTCCTGATTTTCTTTCTTTCTTTTCCTCTTGATGGAGGACAAACTACACTCACCACTATCTAAATTATACAGCTGCCTTGGTGTACAAAGCACTTGCAGAAATTGGACCAATATAACGTCTGTCACTGAATTTCAATGAGCATATTCAGTTCAGGGTAGTCATACTAATTTCATGTGGAAGTATAAACTTCACTTCCTGTGGGAAAAAAATGTTCAGAACAGATCTTTTAAGAAGTCTAATATTAGGATGCTACATGCATGCTAACACATTTACTGGCTAATTGAAACAGTTAGTTTAAAATATAGACAAGTTAGCAGAAGGAAGATTACAGCTAATAGACTGAAGAAGTTGTTTGGTTAAAAGACAAAATGTTTCAACAAAAAAGAATCCATCCAGAGGACCTAACAGCCTTGTTAGATTTATCTACCAGTACCTGGATTATTGAGCATACATCAGGACATTATGAGCAGAAAGAGGCTAAATCATTGCGGTCTATATATATATATATAACTTGCTCATGTTTCTGGCCATTCATTTTAGTTAGCATAACTTTTCTACACTATAAAGTAATTTTATTTGGGCTGTGTAGATTTGGTAACATTTATGGTAATTCTGAAATCTGGCTTGCAGTTTGTCTTTACTTGTCATTAAACAAAAATGTAGATATAATGTAGAAATTTCCATGAGAATATTTTCTCTGGACCTCGCTGAATGTTTTATTGAAGATCACTACTCTAGTGGGTGGAATAAAATTTAACTATGTTGAAATGAATCGAGGATGAGCACACAAAAACCCAATGCAGACATAAGATTTGCAACACTAAAGATGAAATGACACTCTTTAAAAACTGAACTATTATTTACAGTAAACGTGACTTTTGTTGCACCTTGATTTGAACAAGTTCATTTATAACAGATATGTAAAGCATAAAAATTGCACAAGGTGGCAACCTATGAAAATGTAACTTTTTTTTTTTTTTTTTGCCAATTGAACCGAGGTTCTTTTAGATTGGATGTAGGTTGTAGTGACAGTTTGAAGGAAATAAACATAAACAGTCATTCTGAAGGTCAAACGTGGCTGCTAATAGAAATATCCATGCAGACCTTGGTTGATGTTCATACACATTTTCTAAGTAAAAAAATATATTCATCACAGCAAAAAAATTAAAAAAGAGGAAAAACCTGGCATTCTGAAAAGACAACTCAGTAATGTGTTACCTGAAGATAAGGGACAACTTTGCAAAGTGTGTTCCCAAAGAACCACGTCTCTGTGATGTCGACCACGAGGCTCGCAGGCAGGCAGATGATGGTGACCATCACATCGGCGAAAGAAAGATTCACTATAAAATAGTTGGTCACCGTGCGCATGTGACGATTCTTCCACACTGCAAAACAAACTGAGAGAGAGATGCACATTCAAAGATGGTTCAAGGACTCAAGAAAAGGATATATTTATTCAGTAACGCAAGTTTAATGTGAACTACTGACCGGAAGGCGTGCTGTCAAACTCGGGGCTGGAATTAAAATTTTACTGCAATTCTGTTTACATACTTGTTCAAGCTTCAAAAAATTTTTTAATAAAAAAAAACTATAGAGAGTAAAGTTTCACCGACTGAAAGAGCAATGTTTGTGAAGGAGTTCTCATGTCCTCATGAAAATGACAAAAATATGTTGACACAAAATTATATATATATATACACATAATGTATGTGTGTATATATATATATAAATAAATGTACTTGAAAAAAGGCAAAAGGCAGTACTTTGCCAAAGTTTTGAACTTTTAAACCACCCCTCACCATCCTTCCAAAGAAGCTGAGATTCTTGTAATCTTTTAAAGTGGACTTGATCAACAGTTGCTCGTTTTTTTTGTTCAGGCTTTCTGCTCAAGACCATTTCAACAGGTTGCAAGAAAATCTGGCTACTTGGAAGCAAACTGTAAATAAATTAAACATGTTGTAAGACTTCTGCAGAGTAATACTCTGCAGAAAGCTACACTTTATTAGTAATAAGTAGATAAATCAGTATATAAATAAATAACCCTTCTTTGTTATATAAATAAAGTATTGAAACTCTTTACCTAAAGTGTCATCTCACCACAGAACTGATGAACTTAATTAGGAGTAACTAAAAAAAAGTAAATACCTTTTATTTTGATCATTTTAATTACTGCTTTTATGAATCCCTGCTCAAAACCAGCTCATTATAAATAAATAAAAAGTGCACAATAATTAAAGGCAAATAAATATGTGAACTTGACTTGCAATTCTCAATATCTTGATTGTACATTTCAGGATTCATTTCTTGTTCATTTCTCTTTCTTTTTTGTTTTGGAACAAACTTTGAACGTCCATGCACCACACTGAGTTTATGTCAGCAGGGCCTGTTCAAGTTTCTTGCAACAAACCAAAAGCCGAGTCTTTTCAAGTCACCCACAACGACCTTGAAACGTATACAGCAGGTGAGCGCTGAGTGTTCTGGGAGAAGAATAAAATGTTTGACAGATGGAGCCAAAGTTTCATCTATACTGTATTTTACTGGCAGTCAGGGCATTAGAGGGCAGCATGTGTGCAGATCGTGTTGGACACATTGTGACAAGGGCATAAGGTGGGAGCTGGACATGTAGGTTATTTATAACTTGGATAGAATCCAGCTTCACCTGTAGGTCAAACAATATTTTTGTTAAACATATTCAAACTTGTTCAGATGGGCAGCATTAATGCTCTGGTTTTGAGGCCCTGAAAACTACAGTACACGCACGTTTATATAGACGAAACCTGTATCATACATACAACGAATGCATCTGAGAATATGTGGGAGTCACGCTGGCTCAACTGTTGCCTGTCAGCAAGCAGGTTGCCGGATTGAATCCCGACCGGGAGCCTTTCTGGGACAAAAGAAACCGTCCAGATGACCTGACTGACCATTGGTGGATTTATACCTGGATTAATGAGCATGAACCTTTGGTGGTTTGAACCACTTTGGCATGGTCTGGCTTGGGAGTTGACGGGGAAAAGAACGGATCAGGAGGCCATCTTAACACCAGCAAACTGGTTTTTTTTTTGTTGTTTTTTTTTCACTCTGGGAGTGAGCTGCTGGTGGGAATCAGTTTGGTTTGGTGGGCTCCTCCGGCTGAAGAAGGAAACATCTCAGCAACAAAAGAAACCATCCAGATGACCTGCCTGAACATTGTTGGATTTACACCTGGATTAATGAGCATGAACGTTGGTCTTTCTGGGTGGAGTTTGCAGGTTTTCTCTGTGCATGTGTGAGTTTCCCCCCACAGATCAAAAGCATGCATTTTAGACATACTGGTAACTGTATCATGTGTTGGAAATGTGTTGGAGATGTGTTCACGCTCTTCTATCGCATCAATTTTTAGCTTAGTATCTGTAAAACTGGCTTAATTATAGCTATTTTGTTGCTTAAAGTCAAGTAGCAGTCGCAACTATCTTAAATGGAGTTGACTCCAAAGGTTGACCAGTTCTAGATGTCTAGTGATTACTTTTTAAAAGTTAATTTAAATGCATCCAGTTGTTCAGTAAAAATTTTGCTGACAGACAAATAAATACAAAGGCAGTTAGGATTAGCCAGTTTTCATGGTAGCAGGCGATAAACCGAATTGTGCTGTTGTTGTCAGTGTGCCCTTGTTTATTTGGACTATTAGCATCTTTGTTTGCTTCAACCAGCCACATAATTGTGAAACAAGTCTTTTTTTTTACTTCAAAAAATTTAACGTTTAGAAAGCATTAAAACAGTATCATGGCTTTCTGACACATTTTCTGTTACCAAGACACTATAATTTGCTGTTTTGACGTGTGTCTGGTGTGAACCTACAGTAAACAAAATGCAATTTAATGAAGGAATTACCACAAATGTATAATGGGACCAAAATAATCTCTCTTCCCTGAAGCAAAAAATACCTCTTTTTTTGTGTGTCTCCTTATTTGAAAAGGTACAAAAGAATGCAAACAATATGTATCAGTCTTTTTAATATTTGCTGCATAAAATCCCAAAGCTGTGACTTTTATGTATAACACCATTCCAATTTCCATTTGCAAAAAATAATAAAAACATAATAATAAGCCGAACAACAACTCCTTTGCTTGGAAATGTGAAGGGAAATGACGGCATTAGAACTGAACAGTACTTGTAATTTCCTTGCTACTGACTGCCAATATAGATATAAATGGCTAAAACTTATAAAGTTGCTCATGCAGGTATTTTTGTTACTTGTGCTGGTGCCACCACCATAAAACTGCTCTCTTGACATCAGGTCATGTCTGTGACAGCTTAATTAAAGATCATTTTCTCCATAACACAGTCAAAGCTGTTTGGGAGGTATTACATGGGACCCAAAGGATTATTGGTATTACAATATTAAAATGTGGTTATTGTACCTCAGATCTACAATGGCATGTCAAGGAGGATGGAGTCTATATGGAGACTGATATGGAGCATTTTAAATCTAATCTTAAAACCTTTTTATTCAGGCAGGCTCTTAATACCTAGTAGTTCTTTGACAATCTTGCTATGTTTTAATTGTTTTTGTTTGTAATTCCTGTATTGTGCAGCACTTTGTGCACCTTTTGGCTGCTGGAAAGGGCTCTATAAATAAATAAAATTTGATTGATTGATTGATTGATAGACTGTGATGAACTACTTGCAAAATTAAAAACTTTAGCATAAAATTAGCTTTCCTTTTTGAGTCATGATTAAATTGATGATATATGATTAAATATTCAACTTACATTAGAAATCACTGTACAAATGAAAAATGCCATAGCTAATTAGCACACTTGCATTAAGTATGGGTTATATAATTGATCACATATGATCCACAACTTCTCCTCCTCCACCATAACACTTAAAACAACGATGAGTTCAGCTACAGGCAGGAGGTGGAACATCTGGAGAGCTGGTGCAGGAAGAACAACCTTCACATCAATGTGAAGGAGATGAAGGAGATGATTGTGGATTTCAGAATGAGCAAACACGCCTTCCACCCCCACCCTCCACCCCACCCCCGCGCCCCAACATGGGAAGATTTGTGGTGGAAGTGGTCTCCAGCTACATCTCCAGATGCAGGAATATGGCCACCTGCATCATGAAGGACCCCACTCACCCAGCACACACTTTTTTCCCCGCTCCCCTCAGGCAGGAGGTTGAGGAGCATTAAGGGTAGCACCACTAGACTGAGGAACAGCTTCTACCCTGAGGCTGTTAGACTCATGAATCCCTAACCAGGAAAATCACTGTTAAGGAAAAAATAAAAATCATTGTAATGCCACTTTAATTATCAATATGTGGCATCTGTG